CCGACACAGCTGTTTCTACAGAGTGAGGGAGCGAAGAAGGTTTCCCAGGGTCAACTTTAAAAATGGGTCACTCCACGCAGTGAGCTGCAATAAGCAAGCACTGAACTGCTGTGGGCCTTATCACCCAGCAAGTCCAAGCTTCAGCCCCACTGTGGATTCTGTGACCCCTTTTCATTCTGTTTACCTGCCTCCAGGAGGTGGAGGCCAAGACAGCATTTGGGACATTCCAGGGGGCTAGAGAATTGACTTCCTTCTCTGAGGGTGCAAACGGCTAACATGCTTGGTGGCTAACTGAAAGGCTGTAGGTTTGAGTCCACCCTGAAGTGCCTCACAAGAAAGACCTGGCACTCCACTTCTGCCCCCAAAATCAGCCACTGAAAATCTCCACGGAGCACACAGTTCTCTCTGACCCACATGGAGTCACCATCAGACTTGACTCCATGGCAACTGACAAGAGAACTGACCATAGAGGAGAGATGGGTCAGGTGGGACAGACGGATGGGACAGTGCATTTAATGTAGGTATAAAGGGCACAAACAGAAAGCCCAATATTTCAAGGAACGAGAAAGCCTCCATGTTCTAAAAACAGAGGTTTTTCTTTAAGAAGTCCCAAAATGCAAAACTCTGAAATTTCAAAATTACTGTATATCCCAGCACCGGAAGTAGTATTTTACTGTACCTCCAATTCATGTTTCTGCCCATGACATCTGAGTCTATAAAGCTGAATATGGAAGACAATAAAGAAGACACTGAAGTCCTTCTCGGGTAAGCAGTGAAGGAAGCTGGCAGCTACACACGTATGCCTGCTAGTTTAACAAGCACACCTGGAGCTCTTCCCACCCCACTCTGCCCAAATCTGCTTCTCTCTGGCTCTTGTCTCCACACTAAGGCCTTTACAACCCCAAGGGTGGGCTAGTCTGGTGTGCTGAAGTGGTATTATGGACTGAATTGTGTCCCCCCACAAAAGACATGTTGTAGTCCTAACCTCTCTACCAGTGACTGTGATCTTGTTTGATGAAATAAGGTTTTTCATTGCAGATGTTATCAGTCAAGCGAACACAAATATACTGGAATTGAGGGGTCTTAATACCTTCTGAAAGAGTCCTGGTGTGGTGCTGTGGGTTAATGCACCAGACTGCAAAGCCTTTTGAACTGCAAGGTCGGTGGTTCAAGCTCACCAGCTGTTCCTTGGAAACCCTATACAGGGTCGCTATGGGTCGGAATCAACTCGATGGCACTTCACAACAACAATACCTTTTGAAGGACCTCACAGTGGCTATGAGTCGGGCCTTGAGTTCAGCAATTCAAAACTACCAGCCGTTCCGTGGGTAAAAGATGAGGCTTTCTACTCCTGTAAAGATTTACAGCTTTGGAAATCCTATACAGGGTCGCTATGAGTTGGAAATGACTCCACGGCACACTACCACCACCACCACCATCAGTATCTTCTGAGAAATGTCTTATAAAAGGGGACAGGAAGGAGAAGAGACTCATGCACATAGGGAAGACATACAGTGAGGATCTGTCTACAAACCAACGGATGCCAGAAACACCATGGCTCCCAGAAGCTAAAGAGATCTTCCCCTGCAGCTGAGACAGAGGACAGGCCTGCTGAGGCCCTGAATTCAGATGTCTGGCCTCCAGAACTGTGGGAAATACATGTCTGTTCTTTGAAACTGCCCACTTTGTCGTACTTTGCTACGGCAGCCCAAAGGCACCAAGATTCACACTCTCCAGGTCTTGATGACACTCTAGCTTCCTCCTCTGCTAAACTTTCTAATGTTGCTGCTGTTGGGGCCTTGGGAAGTGGTTTACATCCTTTTCTAGCAGACTCCTAAATTCTGCGTATTTTTGGATGATAACCTAAAATAAATTAATATGACATCCCCAAGATTCACTTCTTAAGACTGGGTGTTGGTACACAATTTCATTATCTGTAGTGACATTTGCACTGGTGTCAAATGGTACTTTCCAATCTCTAGTTCAAGCAAAAGAACAGAGGCAAAGAGTTGGGACTTAATTCTTAAATGATGGAGACAGTGATATTTGGACAAGCAATTCATGTTAATTCAGATGGAGAAAAATGGCAGAAGAACTAAGTCATCACATGCCACACAGTAACACTCATGTGTTGTTGTTGTTAAGTGTTGTTGAGTTGGATATGAGTCACAGTGACCCTTTTGTTCACAGTGCAGCCTGATCCTACAGCGTCATACCAGAAGTCCATAGGATTGCCCGTACCACTCAAAAGAACTCATGCGGACACAAGACTGCATTCAGAGTAGATTTTAGTTTAGTTTCAGCAAAACAATGTCATCCCTTTTGTTAATGTTATTAACTTGCATTTCATTGTTTTCAAAGTTTTGTTCGTACTTAATTTATGTTGTGTGTCGCTTTTATATTCGTGTACCAGCAAAGAGTAAGCACTCTATGTTTATGATTATTTTTATGTTTTATGTTTATGAATTTCAATGACATAATAAAAATAATACATGTGTCCAGGCAAGTTTCTTCTCTCTGAAAGTAGTCCATACAATATGCAAGCTTTAAAATAACTGGTTGAGGGCATGCCTTCTTTGTTATAATAGTGGCAGCTTCTTTGGTAAAGCTGCTAAATCTATATAAGCCATTATTAAGGTTTCCTTCTTGGTGGCAGTAATTATGTGCTGTGGAGTCATTTTTGACTCATAATGACCCTGTGTAAGGTTTCTGAGGCTGTGGATCTTTATGGGATTAGTAAGCCTCATATTTCTCCTGAGGAGCACCTGGTAGATTCAAACTACTGACCTTGAGGTTAGCAGTCCAATGCATACTCCCTATGCTACCAGGCTTCTTTTCCTTCTCAATGTCACCACAAAAGAAAAGGAACCGTTTAAAGGAAAAGTTCTGTACAACGAAGGCATGGGGTGTAGCATTTTACATCCAAACCAAGTGCTCAAAATTTATCCATTTGACCATGGATGTATCTTTCTGCTACTTTTGTTTTCATTAATATACGACTCAACGACAATCCCAGAATGCACAACCTGAGACAGTCAGAGGTTTCAAAAACTAAAACTATGAATTAATTTCCAGGTCACCGCTCATTATTGACTTCCTTTGTGTCTTTGATTTTTCATTCAAAGGAAGCATTCGCATGACTCTTCCCAGCTTGACACACTTGGCCAGCATAACCCAAATAACAGAACCCAACAAAGGAAGGGAAAACTACAGGTCAATATTCCTTATAAATATGGTTACAAAAACCCTTCACAAAATTTCAGTGAATTCAGGTTAGCAATATGGACAGTCATGACTCAGCACCAACTAGGGTTTATCCCCAAAATACAAGATTGGTTTAATATTTGAAAATTAATGAAATTCACCATGTTAACAGGATATAAGAGAAAGTCGTGTGATTATTTCCATCTGCAACTACTTTCCAATGAATCCATTTCAATCATGGCAGCCCATGTGTGTGAGAGAACTGCACTCCATAGGTTTTCAATGGCTGATTTCTTTGAAACTTAATCACCAAGACTTTCTTCCAAGTGACCTCTGGGTAGATTCAAACCTCCAAGTTTTTAGGACAACAGCCAAATGTGTTAATGATTTGCACCACCCACCGACTCTATTATTTCCATAGATAAAAGCCTTCAACAAATTTCAGCATTCATTCACGATAAAAACTCTCAGCAAGCTAAAGTCATATTTAAGGGTTAGCTACTG